TGATGCGCGCGCATCTTAAAATTTCACTCTCATCATTTTTTCATAACGCGCCTAAAGAAGTATAACTTCAAAAAAAATTCGTTAGGTCATGTTTATTGGTCATATTCTCTATCGGTAATTTTTGTCAGTTGCCGCTTATCTACGGGACCGGTCTTCTTTTATAGTTGTTCAATGTATCTTTTATTTTGATCTAAAAATACTCTTGAATATACTTTTATAAATCGTTTTTGTGTTACTTGGTATGACATAACCTCCGAAACTTCAAAGTTGAATATATTTAAATGCAGACTCGCTACAAAAAAATAAGTGAATTAAATCAAGAATCTAAACTCTATAATTTTACATAAGTGTAATTAATTTATAGACGCAAAAAACTTGATCTACTAATTTTTGTATGGGACTTCGCCAATGTCCTTTCGAAACATAATAGGGTCGTACACTTTTGACATTGTTTTTAATAAAAAGTCCTCAATCCTTCTGACTCTTACGCATAGATATTTCAAACTACGCAACGGATTTAAATGCAGTTTTCCACAATAGATAAAGTGATTCAAGACGGAGGTTTATGTATGAAAGTAGCTGGAAAGAAACAATTAAAGTCCACAACGAAGCGAAGCGAAGGGCGGAATAGGGAGATTATACCATGACCCACCACGCGGGCCCAGTGTGGATTGGCGAGTGCTAACGACTGCATATATAACCGGGACCTAACCGTTGGCTTAAAGTGCCTTCCGAAGCACGGAGGAACTCGAGATAGAAGATTTTTGGTCACCCATCCAATGAACGACCACTGCGAAAGTACAGTTGAGCTCGTAATAAGGGTCCGCTTGCTTTATGAATATAGATTTTACTGGTACGAAAAAAGGTGCTGTTAACATTAACCATCATCATCAGCCTATTAATGTCCCCACTGCTGGGCATAGGCCTTCCCTATGGATGGAATAGGGAGGTTGAGCCATGACCCACAACGTGGGCCCAGTGCGGATTGGCGGGTGCTAACGACTGCAGATGTAGCTGGGGCCAACAGCTTAACGTGCCTTCCGAAGCACGGAGGAACTCGAGATAGAAGATTTTTGGTCACCCATCCAATGAACGACCACTGCGAAAGTTGCTTAACTTCAACGATTGCAGACGAACGCTCTAACCACCCGCGCCATCGAGCTCCTCTTGAGAGGAGGAGAAGAGGATATAAGACCTAATTTAGCGTCATTACCATTCATCTGATTATTCTTCCACACCTGCGCGACCAAGTTGTGGGTAGCTTTGGTACAAATGCGCCAAAATTAGTCTTCAAAATTAGAATTAGTTCTTTCGTAATGAATTATCGAGCTGCGTGTCTATACGTGTAGACGATAGCTTGACTGGCGATGTTTGACACATTAAAGAGGTTATGGGAGACGATGAATTTGTTTGTGCAGCTGAAGGAGCGTACTTGGTACGCAGGTAGGTAAACAAATAAATAAATATTTCCAACACTCACACCAATTAGCCTAGCCCCAAAGTAAACAATGTAAGGCTTCTGTTATGGGATCCTAGGGTAACGGATAGAATACATATACAGAACATATATAAGTAATAATATTTATATAGAAACTAGCTAACCCAGCGAACTTCGTACCGCCATAAAAAAAGGTGCTGGTGGTACAAAGGTGAAAATTTAGGGTTGTATATATTTTTGTATGATGTATCATAAAAAATTCAAAAAAAAAATATCTAAAAGTGAACAAAAAAATTAGGGGTGGATTAGGGATTGGATTTAAGGGGATGAAAAATAGATGTTGTCCGATTCTCAAACCTACCCAATATGCACACAAAATTTCATGAGAATCGGGAAAGCCGTTTCGGAGGAGTTTAACCACAAACACCGCGACACGAGAATTTTATATATTAGATACCTACATATTAAACACTGGACTGACTGGAGAGAACAAATATGCTCGTATTCATCGCACAATCATTTGCCGCCCTCACCGGGATGCGAACCCGGGACCTCTCGAGTAGGCGTCACAATGAAACTCGGCGTACAAACCACCTGACAACGGAGATCGTCAGGTGAAGCATGATAACAAGATAAGTATTTCCTAAAGAACTGACAGAATTTAGGTCGATCGCCACATCAACGTACAGCAACGGGCTTTCTTACAGTAGGGAACACGAGAACGTACGGGCCATGATTCCTAGATGCACCATCAGGTGATAGTAGGAATTTCGAAATTGCAATGTCAACCCGATGCATTTGGATGCATTTGCCTCAGAATGCAGTTGAATTTTTTCACCACAAACGATGGTCGCTAGCCTCCTGGCATGCTTCTAGATAAGGTCTAGGCATGAATCTCTACAAAAGAGTCTCAGGTGTTGCAGAAAGGTAAGAAGATAAACGCGGCAGAGCTAACGAGCCCGTTGGCGCGCAACCTAGTAACGTAACGTCGACCTTAAGGCTAGCGTCAGCGTCTAAATAACAATCTACCGTACCTGAGCAAGGCTTACCTGCGCTCAGACGGTCAGACCTCTGCTAAGAATATTACTTCATCTTAAAACCTTTGTGACCTCTACTCAGCTCATAAGACGTTTTCCTTGTATGCGTATGTGTGCGTGTGTTCATGTGTCGCATACGTACACGAGTGTGACGTCGGTCAAGATGACCGAACATGGGGTGAACAATCTACCGTACCTGAGCAAGGCTTACCTGCGCTCAGACGGTCAGACCTCTGCTAAAAATATTACTTCATCTTAAAACCTTTGTGACCTCTACTCAGCTCATAAGTCGTTTTCCTTGTATGCGTATGTGTGCGTGTGTTCATGTGTCGCATACGTACACGAGTGTGACGTCGGTCTTACGCGATCTCCGTATGCTGTAATGTGCAGCGATGCCCGAGACGCACCAATGTTATGTGAAGGATAAACATTATGCAACCTCTGTCGGCCGGGTCACCGTCCTGTTCGGACGGCGAGAATAAGGCGGCAAGTGACACGTTGGTGAAAACCTCTGTCACGTCTCTTATTCTGTGACCATGGCAACCGAACACGTTATCTCGGGATTTACAATAACTACCAGGGCTAGTTGGTACGTGAATTCCAGTGTAATTATTACCTCTTAGCTGGATAACGTAATTGTAACTGTCCTGTTACCACATGAGGATAACGGTAACGAAACAGTATGTATCGCCATTTATTAATGTTACTGCTTTACCACAATTAAGTCATTGGGAATTCATGGGAGTTTACGCCAGTGTGCGCCATTTGTGGTTGATTAAAAAGAATCGTCACATCCACGTTTTTATGCGCAGCTCCGAAACCCATCATGGCAGAACTTTCAGGCTGTATTATTAAAAGTTGAACAATCCGTTGCTAGCTGAACTTTTTGTGTGTTGCGGACGTGGTCTCTGATGGGCTCAAGCCGCCGTTGATACGCCTGATCAGAAATACGTGGTTTTTTCTTCAAAGATAGCACAGTCGCCGCACCTCATTCTATTGTGTGACCACGAGCTCTATGCGGCGTTGGAGAGTCACGTGCGCCGCGGTCTTATCGCTAGCTCAATGGTGCGGCCGAGTAGACACGGAGCACCTGATAGGCGTGCAAGTTTCTGCTTGTACGGAGTTTGAAAAAGTTAGCATGTCAAAACTTTGTACTCTGCAAACGTATTGGCCACCTTAGGCACAAATTCTACTCCAGTTTGCAAACAAACAACATGTCGTTATTAATTTAATTATGGCGTAAAAATGTATGACTCGCGTTGACCGCGGCAGACATGATCAATGTGCTTGGGCAAAAAAATAGCAACTTATCTGGACCAAGGTATGTACGCGACTGCCTGGATGTTCGTTACAAACTGAACTGAGCTCTCCATTTTATTCCCGAAACAATAATCCTTTCATATGCAGATAAGGCGTGTCAAAAGTTAATCGCCGAGAGGTATTCAGTAACCCATTCATTACGTCATCTGCGCTCAGAAACAGGAATGTAACCGTTTCCGTTCTCTTTGGTAGCTTTTGTTTATATCTCATACCTGCACTCAAAAATCTTCTGTGTCCCTGCTTCTACAAAGTTGTAAATGCATCAGCCATGTTACTTCTTGTACCAGAATCATAGCAGAGGCAACCGTCTGATGTGAATTGCATTTTTGGAGCCTAAGATCAATGTGTTAAACTAACTTCCCACATGTTGCACGGAATCAACTCAAACTAACGGAACTGTATGCCTATTTGGACTCCACACACTAATTACCGACCACGATACCGGCAAAACCGAAAGAGTCGACATGGCCACGCAAAATAATCGCTTAATCTTTATATATATAATTCTTCTGTGAGTGTGTATGTCACTGAACTTCTCTTAAACGACTGGACCGATTTTGATGAAATTTTTTGTGTGTGTTCAAGGGGACCTGAGAATGGTTTAGATTCACAAAGACGTGTAGACAGGACAACGTCTGTCGGGTCCGCTAGTGTTATGTAAATCTGTAACGTTTTCCTCAACTGAATACCTATTACGGAGAATTCCACTATGACTTCCACATGAAGGTTTTTGTAATGCGATATATTTCTTATCAGATTGCCGATTCTAATAGGTCACAGACATAACGGTATGTGCATAACAAGATCTAACGGTCACCATGCATAAATACCTAACGAAAGGAGGCATCAATATAAACATTGAATGACTCAGCCTGAACAAGTAGATATGCCCCGCCACCCTCCTCTCCTTAGAAGAAAATAGTGGAGGGGATGCAGCTTCAACAAATCTACTTTGCTATTAGTCTAGCCTGTAGCAACTAGACCCTGTGTGAACGTGGAATGGCTGCCGTGCAGTATCTAATATGGTAGTATCTTTGACATACTGCAGGGTCTTGGCAACTGCAGCTCATGGCTGCAAGCAGAGTGTCAGAGCGTTAAGAGCCGATGAAGAGCGTCTACGATTGCCTACGATCTCCTACCTACTTTTTATAAGTTAACTAACTTTCATTAGGTAGAGTAAAAAATAAAACAGAGATTATCATTTATCCATTTAGTGATCTTTAAAGCTCACAGTAATAGGCAAATATACTAATATGTTAGAAGCTGCTGGCAAAACCTGCCGGTATCCTATCATCAGGTACAACGAGACTTTTATACACCATACGAAAAAAACTATAGAGAACACTGAGGATAAATCACTTGTCGATTTGGATAGTGACAAAAGTTCATTTATCTTCTGAAGAACGCTCTCGAGACTGCAGCAGCAACAGCTATCACCGCCCCTGCTTGAGCCCATTCTGCTCCTCTTCGAGCTTCGGCGGCATGTCGCTGGGCTGCTTCGAGTTGTTCCTTAGCTTTTTCTTCCCGTCTGCGGCATGCCGCCGCATATTCTTGCACTAGTTCTTCTTGTCGGCGAAGCGCATATCGCCTACACTCCTCTTCTCTACGGCCCTCCTCAGCTAGCCGATGCTTCTCCCTAGCTCGCCAATACTGCTCTTGCCACTGCTCATGTTGCACCTCCATGTCTGAAGGATGCTCGTCATCTTGCCGCAGGTAATATTCGCGTGGCAAGTCCTCTTGCGGGGGGTCTTGTGAATCATCCATAACCAATACGGTACAGGATTTTTACTTTTACAAAGTAATCAATACGGTAGAGGAAAATAGCAACTCGTACGTCGTGACTGCGCGATTGTTTATTACAAACTGAACCATTCGATCTCTTTTCGCAGCATACCGTTGTGCTAGTAGGGGAATTTCTACCTAAATGCGTCATGCGATACAACACGAAGTCGCTTATTGCGTCATCATTTCGCAGTATTAACATTAGAGGGCATTCAGATAACCTCTTTCCTGTATGTTCCTGTTCATTTCAATGGGTAAACCCGAGATCGAGAACCGCAAAACAGTAATAATCGACATAATTAAGCGAAATAGTTGCCTATTGGTATAAGATTTTCAGAACGACAGGATACCTAAACGTTTACATCAGAGGCCTTCATCAGTTGCACATCAGTGACCTGCATCACTCAGCACAGAGACGACTGTCACGTTTTGTAATGTGGTGTAGTCCCTATCAGATTGCCGAATCTAATGGATTACAGCCATAACGGTACGTGCATAAGAAATCTAACGGTCAGCACCCATCAGCAGCCAACCAATGAAAGAATAAACAAAACATGCCGAACAAGGTAATTATTCCCCGACACGTTCATTACCATAGTAGAAAAGAGTGGAGGAGATAAGGTTCTTTGTTTACTTCAGCAAATCTACTCTGCCTCAAGTCACGCTGGTAGCAATCAGACCCTGTGTCAACGCTAAATGGCCGCCATGCAATGTCCCATATGCCATTATCTTTAGCGTACTGCAGGGTCTTGCGAATTGCAGCTTGTGGTTGCAAGCTGAGTGTCAGAGTGTTCACAGCCTACGAAGATAAGAGCTGCCTGTCAGGGTTTCAATAGCCATCATTCCTAGTGGAATGCATTAGCTCATAAACAGCCACGGCGTGAACTAGTTCGTCCAGAGCAACACTGTGACCGAAGACGTCAACGTCTGTTTCTTTCGCCATTCGCAGCTACTAGATCGTGACTGCCAAAGACTGCAAAATGCCCAAGATGCTAAGAAGTGAGTATATCATTTCTACAAACTCATATCAACGTTATTCTGAGCAAAAACGTTATCGTGTGCGCCAACCCATCGGAACGTCTTGTGAGGTCCAACAAAATTAATGTCAATTTATCTGTTTACAGGTCACCGATCCGACCGGATCCCGTTTGACGAGAGCACAGAAAGCCGACACAATACCGACCCGACGCTCCCACGTCGTCAAGAGACCATGGCTGATGGACCTGAGGAATTGGATTCCCCGGTGGCCTACCAGATCCGAATTAATACTAAAGATTTTAATTATCACAAGTACCTTAATACTGTTTGAGATAGTCATTACATGTCCTTTGTCACCTGTGCGGTATTTAGGTTCGCTCATTATAGCGATGCTTTTTCTTTGTTTTACTTTTTAAAATAAAAATTATTATGCATACTTGTTGGTTTCATTGACATAGAATAAGCTGACGCGACACCGCGTCCAGTAGGTATCCCAACTCAGGTATGAGCTAAGGTCACGATCGGCGCTCTAACAAGCTGCATGTGCACTGAATGTGCATCGGACCGACGTGCAGGCATAGACGTCACGCTGCAGCTTGTGCAGCAGTTGCTGCACTCTAATGAGTCGAGCATAACGGGTTAGGAGTTAACATCGATGCATGATGGAGTTGTGTCTCCTGATCTCAAAAATGACACCCCCCGCCGCCCCTGACCCCTAATTTTGAAGTTATAGCCCGTACGTTCTCGAGTAACTGACTGTAATTCACGCATTTGTTGTGTCATTGATTACACAAGTCAACAAAATGAAAAATAAAATTGAGTTTGTTATTTATTGACTATTATTTTAAAAAGACTACCTATCAGACTACCAGAAACCTCATTTTTATTTTAAAAAGTTTGCTTTTGTACTTTATACAATGATAAATAAATATGGTTGACTTTTGTTAAAGGCTGAGGATATACCGCTTTTAATAAGCATAAGTAAGGAGTGCAGAAGGATATTGGGTATGAAATAGGAAGCAGTAGAGCAATCACTCAGTGCATGTACACACCTTCTAAAGAAACGAAGTATATTGTAAATGCCTAGAGCGGTAAATGCCATCCAAAATGAGTGAAAACTACGTGGACCCAGTTTGCTTTATTTGCGGAGATTTTTTTAAAATTTAGAGTCATAACAATGGTTTACCCTGTAGTTAAAAACTTAATTAAACATATGAAACTTAATTTTCACTTCCTATTTGACTTCAGGATAAAATATGGACGCCTCATGACGAAATACAAAATTTCCAAGTTATTCTTGTTTACTTCACTACCAGCAGCACATTCAGAGTGTCAGAAAAAGAATTAAAATATTTAGTATGATATACTTTTATTCATTATGGACTCTATTATTATATTATCTCTCAGTTGCATGAAAAAATTCTTTATTGAAGGGAAACGACGTATTTTGTGAGTCTTGAGCGGTAAAATGTCTTCCCAAAAGGAGTAAAAACTACGTGAACTCTGTTTGACTTATTTCCGGAGATTTTATTAAATTTAGGGTCAAAAAATGTTGTTTATCCAGTAGTAAAAGGCATAATTAAGCATATGAAGCTTACTTTAACTTTCTATTCGAAGTCAGGATAAAATATGCTAAAAATATCAATTTTAAAACTAAATCAATATATAAAGAAAATATAACTAGAAAAAATTCCACGCGGACCAGGCAGCAGACGGGACTCGAACCCGCACCCTTCGCAATCCGGGCGAATGCACTGACCAATTATGCTACCGCGGCCCTCACGGACCGCGTCGAAATTCCTTCTAGCTATTCTTAAGCTGCAAGGCAGCGCCATCTCTTCGCATTATAGGTAAACCCACAGGTGGTCAGTGCATTCGCCCGGATTGCGAAGGGTGCGGGTTCGAGTCCCGTCTGCTGCCTGGTCCGCGTGGAATTTTTTCTAGTTATATTTTCTTTAGATTTAAACATCAAGCAGTTACATGCTTTAAAAAAAAATAATAAAAATTATAAATCAATATATTTTTATATTCATAGACTTGGTTTATTTGTCTAAAGTAAATAAAACATACAACTTAAACAAAAAAGATTGCAATTTTCCATGAAATTTAAAATTTCATTCTGATAGCTACAAAAGCAAACTTTTTTAAATAAAAATATTGTTTCTTACATTAATTAGGTATAAGAAGTCAAAATCTGGTACAAAGAACTCAGACTCAAAAATCGTGTTGACTGGTGTTATTTGTTAACAACTGTCGCTCAAACATTGTTTACGTAAAAAATTAGTTGCATCAAGATTCCATTTCTATTCTACAGGTATTGCATTCAAACACGCAAAAACGGCTTAAAGGATTTGGATGGAATTAGTCACAAATATAGTTTATTCGTTAAATTGAGGCGTTTCATGAAATACCTTTTATTCCGGAAAAATGTAAGCTTTCTGCAAGATTTTTCAAAATACTAAAGTTTACGAGGACGAAGTCGGGGGCGGCAGCTAGTGAATAATAATGAAAAGGGCAGGATTGTCGTGTGTGAAAGTGTTTTGCGTTTTTGGATCTGCATAAAGCAAAGCCAAAAGGTTAATAATGCAGCTCTAGGGGCTGCAGCTCTAAGCATACAGGACTCATATGTTGTTAATATGTTTAATTATAACGAACAATTTATTAAAACTACTAATTTAATTACTTTTATTAAAACGTTATTTCAAGGCAAGAGTCATAAAAAGGCAGAAGGTGCACGCTTCATATTGTGATTGTTGTAGTCTTTGCGTAATTTAAAAAACCCAACCTGTGATAAAATTGGCTTCATTACATTACAAGTTGCAAGTAAAACTACAGATACCGTATTTAAATAATAATGCGGTTGATTATCTGTAATATCTCATAATGTCGCACCTTTGACATTCCAGTGTGTACCCCAATATGGCGCATTTGGGGCAATTATGCTTTATGTGCCGAATAAGGTACATGCACGTATAGTACTTTGAACGGCACACGGGGTCCGTTTTGTTTTGTGTACCTACCTAATCATCTATTGACACTAACTTGTGAAATTATCTCTTATCTATTAGACAAATCCGTCCGTCCGTCCGTCTGTGGTGCTGTTTCAGCGGCCAAACCGTAAAAGATAGATAAAGAGAATGTTTAAGTTATAAGTTAAGAATAGTCTGATAAGACTACAAACCGGATTTGAGTAACGTAGCACTTCTGGTTTTCGAGAAATCACGAATTTCAAATGAAACCACACAAAATCTCCGAAGTTCTCAATTAATTAAATACATTTTTTTATTTTTTTTATTTTTAAATCAGGTTTTGGTGAACATTTGGTTCACTGGTTTGCTAGTTTAGTAATAATCTTTGTGCAGAATTATGTCAACATCCCAGCTATTGACATAATTCCAGCTTTGACAAACCGCAAGGAAAGTTAAGCATGTGTTCAGTGGAATTCTTTGCCCGCGCACGTGTTCCCTACTTCCTACAATCTGAGCTCTTTTAAGAGAGGCGTGAAGAGGCATTTTTGCAGGCCAGCTGGTGGATGGTTGGTGTGGCAGTTTATAACTGCTGTACCAGCTATCTTCGCGTTTGGACTTTATCACAACTTACTTCATGTGGGGTAGAGTCATTTGCATATCTGGCTATATAAAAAAAAAGGTGTAGTTCGCAGAGAAATCGCAGATAAATTTTATAGCGTCACCGAGCTTGGGGCGGCGAGATCTTTAAGGCCTAACTCAGACGGACATAATTCCAACAAATGCGTGACCGCTAAACAGCTGTCCGCAGGCGGTAGAAACGAATTTGTATAAAAACGCAGCAATTAATGGCGCAATGACACTTGGTCGTTAGTCCGAATACAATTGCCTATGGGATTCGGACAAAATACTAAATGTAAATGAACAGAGTCGAGTACGCAGACCCGTCTTTCCCAGTGGGCACTTTGGGCAAATGCCCAGGGCCCCGCGATCGATAGGGGAGCCCCCTCAGATCAAATACAAAGTCCCTAGTTCCTGTTAAATCACCAAACGGAAGTCATATGGGCCCCATTATCCTAATATGCCCAGGGCCTCCAATAGGTTAAAGACGGCACTGCGAGTGCTG